GATAGAGATCTATGCCCTCAATGGGCCCCTGTTCTACCACAGGGTTACCAAACCCGTCTACTCTCGTTCCCTTGTACATTTCCTCTTCTTCTCCGTGACCCTGGCAGTGTCTCTTCCCCTCGAATGGCGTTAGTTTGGAGGCTCATTGGATATCCGGCGTATTCAGGAAAGGCATATGTGTGTACATACAAATTTTGTTTCTCTTTCGCTTAGGTCTTCAGTGCCTAGAATCCAAGACAATTTATCTTCAATATCATCTCCAGCAATGAGACAATCTTGGTCTTGAACAGTTCCAGTTAAGCGGGAAACTCGAGGCTCCCTTAATGAATTCGGTCAACCATGTGTCACATAATTTAAAGCGTGTGTCGAAACTCATATTGATTCGTGACTATCAAGCTTCTTCATCCTCAACTTCCTCCATCTGTACAGTGCGAAGTTCGCGATTGAATCGTTCTTCCTCCTCTATAAGCTTTTGCTCGATGTCATCCTTTGCCGGCTGAGCGGAGTTTACACCTCCTTTTGGTTCCGCAGAATTGGCGCTGTAACCGGCTTTCTCAAGCCTATCCATTTCTTCGGGCTCCAGCAGTTTCCCACGACCTTTAATAGACTCCTGCTTGACTCTGACTGCCGCGGGAACGAACTTGCTGACAGCTTCTTGCCGTAGATTTCTGATCTCCGGCTTCGCTTCGTAGACGGTCTTTGTTTCCACAACGGGCGGTCTGGACGGTAGAGGATGTGGCCCACGAGCGCTATCCAAATCCACGTCTGCATCTGGTCCTCTCCTTCTCTGGTATTGTCTTGGTATGGGCGGGGGTGTGTCCCGCGGCATAGGTATCCGGCGAACATCCTCATCTGTCTCGCTACTATCACTATCTGGCGCCGATCGCCTGTGATCCTCTCTCCTCCTTTTGCCAAGTACTCCGTCTCCGTGGTCTCTTTGGCCGCCAGGAGGCCCTCGTCTGTGTTCCGAAGTCGCAAATGTGGGGGCTTTATCGCCAAGTGCTTCCCTGGCCTTTTGCACTGCTCGTAAATCGCGCTCAAGGGCCTCCAGTATCTGCTTCTCGCGCGGCCGCAACTTCTGCCCGGACTCCTCCATTTCTTTGAGTTCATTTATTTGTCTCTGGATGCGCTCGGGATTGCGACGCGCCAGCTTCTCGTTCCGACGAGCCAGAGCTTCGGCTTTCGCCTTTTTCAGGTTTTTCTGTTTCTCGAGCTTCCGCTGCGCCATCGCAGGGTTGACTGAGCGTTCTTTGTCCTTAGGCATTGTTGCTCTTCTTTTCGTCGTTCCTTCGAGTCTGACGTTCTAGAACACTTCGACGATTCGAAATCTGTATGGTTGCGCTTTGGGAAAGTAACAGTGTCCCCAGTTTTCGACAATACTAGGGTGCGATTGCTACTATCGATGTCAAAAATCCAATCAGTCAAAAGAGTCACTCATAATCGGACTACCTTGGCAATGTAATCTGGTTGGGTAGGACAACGTTCGCTGCAGCTCTTGCAATAGGCTAGACCTGCGTCACGTACATCGGGGAAAGCTCACAGGCTGACAATAAAGTAAGCTGCATCAAGAGCAGCAACAAGAATCTTTTCTCAAGGTCGGATCTTCCGAGCACTGACCCTCCCAATCGACAAGGGATCCAGTAATAAATCTGTACGGCTTTAGCCTCACGGATTGGGCAGCGGCTTGAGTAGATCCAGGCGTGGGGAAAGGCGATGGCGACAAGACAATTGACAGGAATGGCGACTAGAGCTGTAATGACGACGCGCCAAATGCGCTATTTTGAGAGTTTGTCGACTTTCACAGCTTTTGATGAAAAAAAAGAGATAAGTTCCGCCCTCGTTGACAATGATGATATTGGCGAGATGTGAGGTATTGAAGGGAGCGAGAGATGGGGAGAGAAGCGCGGCGCGGAGAAGAACCACAATTTTGGAGACGAGCAGTGACGTTTATCTAGGGAAAGGAAATAAAAGCAGTCGGGTTATTGCTACATTGCCTTCACTTAATGATGATGATCTACTATGGCTAAAATAATATCAATGCAACGAGCATCAAGATCATGAGCGACGAATGGACCAGTTATTGTTGCAGTGGTATCAATATATATTTCTTATACAATATCTACTCTGGTTGCTCAGTATAAAGCTGCAGAACTGTCCTTTCGTCCCCTTGTACGGTGTATTTTGCAGAGATTGGAGGCATCAATTTTCTCCTCAAAAGTCTTTTTGCGCTTTCTTTATCTATGTCGTAGAATTCCTATTCCATCCGTGTCACTTCGACTTCTTGTTCCTCTCCTGTACGAGGCACCCTTGAACATCCTCTTCTGGAAGATTCAAGCTTGTACTGCGTACCTGTGCATGTCTCATCAGCTCCGTCATCATCGATCAACTCAGATCAGATCGAACTCGCGCCTCGTCAGTGTAACCTGACAGGCTGACGAGGAGTGCAGCCGCGGTTGCACCGTCTCCTGTTTGATTTTTCTGCCGCCGACTAGACTAATAATCTGCTTCCTCAAACGGGCCATATTCCCGCTGCCGTTAATCGCTCTCCCCTGTCTCCTCTCTCGATTCTCAAAGACACCCCGACTTTATTGTTTCTCGCGTCAGGAGGATACACCAAATCAGCGACCTGAGTCATTTTGCCGCCTCCAGTGAATTCTGCGCTTTGACAGCGCACCTTGCGCTCTCTCGCTATTCCCTTTCTCCCCTTCCGCACTTGTCTCCGTCCCGTCTCCCCTTCACCCCCTGTGTTGTTCTCCTACGCTTTCCTGCAGTCACCATCATGAAATCGGGTCCATTGTATCTATACGGTTACAGATCGATCGGCACTTCCTAGACTCCTGTCACGGTTGGAGCATGTCTCTGCCGGGACCAAATGTCCGTGTCAGCCTCGATTCCCGATACCTCGCTTGGCCTCACCTCCTCCGAGATCCAAATCCTACGGCAACAACAACAAATTGCACTCCAGAATGGGCATGCTGGGAATGGCGTTTCCAGGGGCAGAGGGACTGGACGGACCAGCAACTCAAGCTCGCGCGCCGCCAGTGCGGCCAGCAGCCATGGTCGGTTGCTGTTGGATCCGATGAGCCTTCGAGCACTCTCGCATCAGTTGGACGGACTGCAGGAACAAATTCGGAGTCGTATTGGTTATGTACGTATGCTGCATTCGTGCACTTCTTCTTTTCTTTTCAAAAAGTTCCACCCGCTGCTATCTCCCCTACCTCCTTCTCTCCTTACTGGACTCGAAGGGTGTTTGATAGCAATTGTTATCCCTCTTTGCACACGAATGCGCTCGTCTCATAGTTCTTTGCTAACATCCACCAGCTAGAGGAGCAGATGCAAATTTCCATTCAGAACAGCTATGACCGTGCAGGAAACGTCATTCGTAACGCTGACGCTGAGATTGCTCGTACTCGTTCCATACTCGCCTCGATTGATGACTTGGAGAATGAGCTCGCCAAAATAGGACATATCAGAGAAATTGTGAAAGCTTATCGCGGCAGGATAGAGAGTCTCGACCAACGTATTGATCAAGCTGCCCGCCGGAGACACTGACACCGCATCTGCGACCATCTCATTCTCACACCGCATATCCGCATCTATATTGGACGTTCACACATACTCTAACTCTTACGAATTCTACGAAACTAACGAAATGAAATCTTTCGCCCCGGAGGCTGTCGCATATCAGTTGCCAGATTACCGATCGACTGCCGGATGATCCCTCAACGAGCCCATGTCTTCTCTTGCAATGAACGCTTATATGATGATGGTGCTGTAACCCGCTAACAAGATGAAACGAATCTGAACCATGAACTGAGGATTCAGCAAACACCAAGAGTTCAAAATTCCCTATATACAATCCCCGTCCTCACGGACATTGTTTCATGACAACCCTATGCAGCTTTTGTAGTGGTCGACATGTCCCATTCACTTGCAATCTTTCTTTGCTCTCCACCTGACAATTCGGCACAACCGTCTTCTTTTCTCTTTTTTATTTTTATTTTTATTTTTTATTTACTTCTGTACCTGGGAAGGATATGCGCTTTAAAGACCTTCGTTATGCCTCACGGCCATTGCTAGAATTTCGCATCATTGCGGTCGAAGTTTACTGGAAATCAACCGATTAGCATGCTTTTGGATAGCGCTGTTTTCAGTCGATACCCTAAGGGCTCTTTCCTGCTGTTATTGTTTATTGTTGGATCAAAGTTTTGATGGTCTAGTACGATACGAAAGAAACGGTCAATTTACTCCATGATGTTGTCCATGTCAACTGTCTGTCAACTATGTTAAATTTCGGACACGCTGGTCCTGATTCCCATCGAGTTATTCTTGTTTGAGCGATGCTGATGTCACCCCCGTAGAAGTTAACCACTTTGCCCGCTGATCGATCGACACCACAAATTAGTCAGAATTGATGGACGGTTTTATTTGAAAGCACTCGTTCCGTTCCTATTCTGCCTCGCAAGTGCACCATTGCAACTCGGGAATACAGGCTATGCCGAATCCATATGACAAATTGATACTTCAGTTCAGAACAATTGCCGTTCGACACGACCCTGATGGAGTCACGGCAACAAGCTCGGGCAGACGTCAACCCGTCCACGAGCAGTTTGCATACATCAACTGGCAGTCCGGGTTTGTCATCGTAAGCTCCCGCGGTTCGCAATTGTGCTGAGGGCGCACGGGTCCGGTTCCAGGACAGCAACTGCGTTGAGTAATGTGTGTCAAGCATTTGCAGAGCTATATGGAAATGACAGTGGTGTCAACATCGTTTGCCGTTGAAGCAGGCAAATACAAGCTGGACATCTTGTTTCCCTGTCATTAGCCAGCTGGTAGCATGAGGAGAAGCCGAAGACGGCATCGCCAAGCACCAACAAATTATGGCTTTCAATAGAGGGAGGAAGTTGACAGTGGATTCCTCACCACCGTCTGCTGCGGATCTCAACACTAAGTGATCGCGGCGATTATTTCGAAATACCTAGAAAATAAAACCCTGGCGTTCACTTAACATCTGGCTTCTCCGCTTCTGCTTTTTCCTTCCGACGTTCCGCAAGTTTCTTGCTCCGCTTCTCTGTTTGTGGAAAGCGCTTTTCCGTCTCACATGTAGTGCAACGAATGACCAGTACATCTGCCCAAGGTTTTCGGCGACCACGGCTCTCATTTCTAATCTCATGTGTGCAGTTGACATTGGGAATTAGAAGTGTATCGCAGCGCTTGCAGAATGAACGCTTGACTTCCACTGGCAGCCGCAGCTGAGATTTCAGGGACACTCCCCGCAAATGTGATATATAAACTCGGGCGAGTTGCGAAAGACGATCTGTGTCGTTTGATGGGCCTGTAGCAAACAACTGTCTCTGAGCTGCAATGCCAGGCTTTGCAACATGTGGTACAATCCTTGTCAAACCCGTTATCTCTCGGTTTCCATTATCGGCTCGCTGATCATCTGGTTCCTTTGAGGAAACTGTCACGGATTGAAGAAGGCTTGCGGCGTTATGAAGGTACGCCAATCGGGCTCGTAAATGACTGTTGGCTCCGCCTAAGGCGCCCTTTTTATCTTTCGCTTTGGCCATTATTTAGGGTACAGGTCAATATGACCGAGAACGAGAAGTGAAGATGATGGACGGATCTTAGTTGTTGATGGACCCGCTCAGAAGCTTTTGAGGCTAGATATGGTAATCCGGGGGCTAACCGAAAGCGGCAAGTAGCCTTTCGAGAATGACTAATAGATCTTATCACGTGACTACACGCTTCCTGATCTCTTCCTGCCATCCCTCGCGAACTGCGATCTTCTCTTGTTCTCCATCGCCTTCTTTCTGCCTTCAACGTTCATCATCTTCCAATTCTTTCGATCCATCCACAACAAAAGGGGATCGGACTCTTGATAAGCATTGTGACTTCTTTTCCCCGATTCTCTCCATCTACGCTTCTATCGCACAGTCCCTGGCTCGGCTGCCTTGGGGAAAACGCGCCGCGACAAACACCTTACTTTGATCAACGCCATTCTTATTTCGCCACCCTACATCAACAATGTCTCACGAGGAGGATCTCATCGACTACTCCGACGAGGAGCTTCAGACCACTGACGCAGCAGCCACCACCGCTGCCCCCGCCGCAAATGGGGCCCAGGACAAGAAGGGCGACTTGACAGTTTCCGGCGGCCGCCCGGATAAGAAGGGAAGTTATGTCGGTATTCACTCGACCGGTTTCCGCGACTTCTTGCTCAAAGGGGAGCTTCTACGTGCCATCACCGATTGCGGTTTCGAACATCCATCGGAGGGTTAGTTAAATTACATTCTTCCCACAGTATCCCTCCATTGCTCCGTGTTTCAACGTCCGTCCATCTCCGCGAGGAATGAAATTTGTCGCTTTTGGCCACCTATTCCGTTCGAGGCTGCAGGCCACGCCAGGTTGTCCACGCGGAGTACAATGAATCAACTGCGCTGTGTCAATCAAGAGCCTTAATGCGGCTAGTGTCCGCTTGCTTTGCTTCAGCTTTCTACGGCGAATTAGTTCTCGTGGAATTCTCTCAGGTGACATTCGTCCATTTGACTTGGATGATGGTGCGCTGTCTGAAGGCGACGAGCCTTGCCACCTATGACTCGACTATTCTCGTCCTTGTGCCGAGCGAAAAGTGTTTCTGTTTGGGATACGATCGCACGCTCAACCTGTGCTTTGTTCTAATCCTGTTGTGGATGCGGGCAATAATGCACTGTATGCCTAGTTTTCGAACGACTCGGGAATGGACGGACAATGCGACACGGATTGCTTTTTTCGTTTTTTCAAGTCTTATGGATCGAATACATGTCTAACATACCGTTCCACCTTTTTACAGTCCAGCAAGTCTGCATTCCCACTGCAATCCTGAACGTCGATGTTCTCTGCCAGGCCAAGTCTGGTCTTGGAAAGACCGCAGTTTTCGTTCTCACTACACTCCACCAACTCGAACCTGTGCCTGGAGAATGCTCGGTTCTTGTCATGTGCCACACTCGTGAATTGGCGTACCAGATCAAGAATGAATACGCCAGATTCAGCAAATACCTGCCTGATGTGAAGACCGCTGTCTTCTACGGTGGTACGCCGATCCAGAAAGACATCGAGGTGTTGTCAAACAAAGAGTCATATCCGAACATCGTTGTGGGCACACCTGGTCGTCTCAATGCTCTGGTTCGCGAGAAGAAGCTTTCTCTGCGCAACGTCAAGGCGTTCGTGTTGGATGAATGTGATAAGATGCTTGATCAGATCGGTAAGCAAGCATACCTCGCTCATAGGGATGTCCCTTACTTACATCTAGCGTAGACATGCGCCGGGATGTCCAGGAGATTTTCCGTGCCACCCCCGCCGATAAGCAAGTCATGATGTTCAGTGCAACCCTCTCCCAAGAGATCCGACCCATCTGCAAGAAGTTCATGAGAAACCCTCTTGAAGTTTACGTCGATGATGACACCAAGCTCACACTCCACGGTCTCCAACAATACTACATCAAGCTCAGTGAATCGGAGAAGAACCGTAAACTCAATGAGCTTCTGGACAGCCTTGAGTTCAACCAAGTCATTATCTTCGTTAAGAGCACACTGCGGGCGAACGAGTTGGACAAGCTGTTGCGCGAGTGTAACTTCCCCAGTATTGCGGTGCACTCTGGTGTCAGTCAGGAGGAGCGGTGAGTGTTTCTATTGCTGAATTACTGGGTGCGGCGGCTAATTCAGGTTTAGTATCAAACGTTACAAGGAGTTCAAGGAGTTCAACAAGCGTATCTGTGTTGCCACCGATGTCTTCGGTCGTGGTATTGATATTGAGCGTATCAACCTGGCTATCAACTACGACTTGCCTGCTGATGCCGATTCGTATCTGCACCGTGTTGGTCGTGCTGGTCGGTTTGGAACCAAGGGTCTATCTATCTCGTTTGTCAGCAGCGAGGAGGATGAGAAGGTGCTCAAGGAAATTGAGAAGCGGTTCGAAGTTGCCCTTCCGTACGTTCTTCGATTTTCCCCCGACCTGATGCTTTGGATGCGGCGACTAACAAATTGCATAGTGAATATCCCGAGGGCGGTGTCGACTCCAGCACTTACATGGCGTGATCGAATAGTAGATATGTTGTGGACAGTCAACATAAACTCTCTTGATCATGTTTGTATCTGGGCAAATTTGATATTCTGTTGCCGCTTAGTGGTTTCCGGTTTCTCTTTGGCGTGACGGTTCGGTTGTGATTATATGTCCCTCAGTGTCTCAGCTTTGCTTGGCTTTAGAAGGCACTGGTGAAAAATGGGAAAGGATCTGAGACATCTGGCAAGAAAAATGTATTCGCTTATAGGCTTAATTTGCAGGTTCCTTGAATGACGCTCCCATTGGTTCCTTGGCTTGTATCCCTGGAGTCTAAAATAAGCTTGTCATTTGGAACTGTCGATCCCCGTTTGCCTTCTGCTTTCAACAATTTTGACTACAGAATTCAGTCGGATTTGAGCACACCTTGTTTGATTGCTAATCGCACTTGAACATGATCGAAAAGCATTGAACACGTAGAGAGTTGTCTCAAGCAGGTAATAGATCTGCACCACGTACCATTCTTCTTAAGTAACTCCGCAGGCTAGAAGCATAAGGTACCCTGCAGTCTTTCTTCCACAAAGAAGGAAGGAGATTCAAGTTCATAGAGACGTCTGTATGGAGCATGACCCAAGCTAAGGTACCTTACACAATTGAACTGAAGTTGCCAAGAATCCAATGACAGCTGCCACTTATACTTTCGTCCCGATGCTTACCTTGATTCTTCAGGCACCTTCCAAGAAACACCAGATACTCGCAGCTCTAAATTCCAGTTCCTATTGACGGGTTACAGCCCACCACCCTGTTAAGGTCAGAAACGAGGCCCGTGGGCTTGTGGCACGCCATAGGCGAACGGATCTCAAAAATCATTTAAACTAAACTAGCCCAACCTGATGCTTCCTTGTTTCGCAGGCGAACGGATCCTCTTAATTTCCCGATAAGTGACCACAATGTTTTTACCTCCTTATTTGTACCTTGATCATAGTCCATATCCTGATTGGGGGAACGAGGTTCCTATGCCCGACTACAAATGCCGATTGAGCCTATTTACACCTTCCAGTGCTTTGGATGCGCGATGCGCCCACTTATTACCCTGCCAAGAGATGGTTCTCAATTTGTTAGTTGGTGTTTTGGGTTTGGTTAGAGCGTATGGCATGTTGATCTTAATTAGTACCTCTCTTACTGAAGGAATACTTGGTTTTGCTTTTGACTGCTGGCTCACGCCGATGCACCTACCATAAAGTTGCTACGTACGTAGTGATGAAGGTTTGGCAACGGCAGAACCCATCATTGCTCGACAGTCTCGACCACAGACGCTGCTGAAGATTCGGATCTTCGAGAAACGGGATAGACTCTGAGTAACCAGTGGGGAAGACCCAACAGTGACACATGTCGAGCTGTCAAATGTTACAAGTTATATCCACCTCTGCGGACAAAGGATACTCTTCATGAACTACTCTGTACGTATGCAAGCTCGTGGTGACTAACTCTCATTCTCAAGAAGAGTATATGTCTCCATCAGAGATCTACGCAACACGATTCGTGTCTTGCGGGGTTATGTGGATAAATGCTCAAGCCATGATGACGTTGAAGACGCCGACTATCACGACTACTAGTGCGCCACCACCGGGGCGGCTGCTGCGTATCCAAGTATCCATTTGATGACCCTTTTTGCTTTTTCTTTGTGGCTGTCATTGTTGTCGGTTGTTTGTGCCTGGTATGCACAGTACTAGCGAGTAAATAGATGGCGTTGTCGATCGCTTTCTCAATAACATGACATGGCACAATGATCTTCTGGTGGTGGTTACTCAAACGTGGATGGATTGTCACTGGCAGATATTGGATTCATTCAGCTCTGATGGTGAAATAAGCAGGAGACGCGGCCAAAGAAATGCAAACCATTATAGGGAACTTGTTTGCATCAATATCTATCTCTTAGGTATCTAAGGTAGTCTATAGTCGTACACGTCTCGATTTGCGAATGGTTTGTAAGCGGAGACGGCTAAGGTACGGTCGCGACGGGGTATTCCACGGGACCACGGGACAAAGGACATTGTTGAATGAGAAAGACAAAGGTATTGATTGATCGAATCATGAAGTGTTGGATTGAGAGGCTGATCGATGCTTTCGGAATAATTTTGAGCGAAATTGCCCCTACCTCCCGTGGACACTGTCTTTTCCCATTCTCATCGAGACTTGGAATGAGGATGTGGCTGAGGTGTCCGCATGCGGAAAGAAAGTGCTCTGACACTCTGGCACCTGCAGGCAGGGCACATTTTGTCCCATGATCTACAGCATATCTTAATTTCAATACGTCTCATGATTCATGATGAAGTAATTAAGGTATGGATTACCAGCTCTGAGATTAACCTGACTCTATTTGTTCTCTGGAAGTTTAGATGTTTATGCTTAATATTGTGTACTCTGTATAAGTATTGAGTCTCTATGTTCATAACTAAGGTAGTGTTTGGAATGAAGCTATTTGCTGCATAAATCTCCTACCATTAGTCTCTTATTTAACCATACAGGCTAA